CTCTCTCTCTCTCTCTCGGCTTAGGAAGAAGAGGGCGAGGCTTTGGCGGAGGTCGGCGGCCTGAGAGGTCGGGAATGGAAGAGGAGTTTCGGGACAGAGAAGGAGAAGTAGCGAATGGGAGAAAGTCGAGAGTCGTGTGTGGAGCTGAGAAGATCGGGGAGCAAGCCAGCGGGTTCGGCTTCATTTTATAGAGGCGAACGGGGCTCGATCGAGGATTAGACGAAGGATTCGCGGAGACAGACGCGAACTGCGCCGCGTCTACAGTGATATGGCGAGATTTGCGGGATTTAGCAGAGACAGGCGAGATTTCAGCGGGATTTTTGGGATCTCTTTGATCGAACGAGGTATGCAGAATTTCTGCTCTTCTCGTTTGGTCTTTACATGGAGGTCAACAGAGAGTCATTGGTATATTTGAAATACAAAAAGCATAACACTATTTCTTGCTCTTCACCTGAAGCAGAGTACCGTACTCTTGCCACAATAGTTAGTGAATTAACTTGGATAGGTTAACTCTTAAAAGACTTAGAGGTGCACACACAAACTCGAACTCTTATATTTTGTGATCATCAAGTTGTTGTCCATACTCCATATAGCCACTAACCCAACTTTTCATGAATGAACTAAACACATCAAAATTGACTGCCACTTCATTCAAGACAAAGTCATTGATAGTTCCATCAAGCCCATACCAATACGGTCCTCGCATCAACTAGCTGACATATTTACCAAACATTTACCTCATGGACCTCCCTCAACACTTATTTCAAGATGTCCATCAATAACATATACAATGCATCTTGAGTGGGAGTATTACAACTAAACATCAGCTATACAACCAACAACAACATATTTACTTTATCTATTTTTGTACAAATTGCCATATAGCTTTCTTCTCGGTTTGTATATATAGATCAAAATGATGTAAACATCAAGTAGAGAAATAAGATTTCTTTTTTTGTTTTTCCCTTTCTTCTCTCTGCTTCTTCCCTCACGCTCGGATCCCGCTTCACCATTTTCTCAATACAAGATGCCTCTGTGTGATTTGATTGAGTACCCAAACCACTCTCTCTCTCTCTATCATGCTATTGATGACCATATTATTAATGTTTATAATCTTATTTTTGTCATAATCAACATTTTTCATTTAATCTTCATTCTACACTATAGGAAAGTCAGCCTCTTCCAACGCACAAATTCGCCGCAAAACAAACAAAATCCGCAGCTAAATATGCTTTGAGGCGAAATATATTCTGATGCTAAAAGTCGCGTTGGAAAAATATTTGTGTCAAACACAATCCATCGCAAATATTTTGTGACGGATTTAAACTCCAAAAAATGATGTGTTTGTTATAATTATAGGCCGCTATTTGTGGCGAATTTGCAGCGAGAATGCCACTGTTATTTGCAGCGGTTATGCCCGTCGCAATTTATGACAGGTTTGCGGCGGAAATATTCGCCGTCAATTGCATCGGGTTTGTGGAGGAATTGCCGTCATAAATTTTGGCGGATATTTCCGCCACAAATCCCATGAAAATGCGCCGTATCGTTGTTTGCGACAGAAATTCCGTCGTAAATATGCCAGAAACCGTAAATCCGCCGGAAACCTATTGAATACTTTGGAGAGGAAAATTAATGGTCTACCAATAAAATAAGGTACCATAGTGTTGGTTTCTTGATATAGATGTCCCCACATCCCCCCACTCCTTTTATTTTGACTTTTTATTGCTAACACAAAAAGCACTGGCGTTGATTTTGTTTTTTTTTACTAAACAACAACAGACTCTTGCTTTCTCTTCCTCTACTTTGCTGCTCTAGCAATATATTGAAATTACTTCTCCCTATAACAGTCACAACTTGAACCTAGAAATTTTTTGGAGATAATGGTAGTAGTTATAGTACAAGCTGGAGGCTGATTGGTGGCTCTCTGTACTATAAGAGGTAGCGGCAAAGACTACAGTTGTGTGGAATTCTTTTGGACAATTGTTGGCAGAGCTGAAAATAGCTATTGTTAAGTCCCTACAAGGGCCGCTGAGTATGTCAGGGAGAGGGAGAGAGGATTTTGTAGAATTCTATTTTATCTTATAACAAAAAAAAGGTTATTTACAGGCATATTATAACAAGGACAAAGTCAACTCATTATTATACTTCTTAAACAAGCTCCACATTATAAGTAAACTCTTTCTTGAATTTGAAAACAATCAAATTAAACCAAACCTAGGACAAATAAGGATGTAAAGGAATATTTGATATGATACCGGTTTACTGGAGGACCCTTGATCATGAATTTCTTTTTTAATCTTCTTCTCCTTCTTTCTAATTTGCATTCTTCTTTGATCTCACCTATAAATAAGGCTTAGGGATTCATTCCAGGAGAGAACAAAACTTTTGGCTATGTTACGACTTGGGATGCATGCTGTAAGAGAGAAAAACCTTGAATTCTTGGGAATTGTGCCATACACAGTAGGTGAGAGCTAACGGGAATTGCATGATGGGCGTTGACTACGAGAGTGAAGAGTGGATCTTTCAATTTTCATTCATAATTTACTAATTCAAATATCTATTCAATCTTATTTATAGGAATATAGTTACAAGCTAAATTCAAACTAATTTGAAATAAAATCTAACTCATAAAAATTCTATCATCTAATTTTAAAATATGGATAATCCTAATAATTAAATAAAAAAATTAAAAATAAAATATGGAATAACTTAAAAATATGTTAGTTTAGAATAATTTTCTTGTAATCCATGCCCCCCCCATCCCATCCATACACCTTCCCACTCCTGCCCTCTCACTTCTCTTCTCCATTCCACTTACCCTACCCCTCCCTCTCCCGTACATTTAACCATCCACGCATAAGTACCATACAAGTGTGAGGCCCCTCCCTCTTCCTCTCTTCCTCATTTCCCTCACCTCCTTCTCCCATCCAACCATTCATGCATATATGCATGCGTGTAAAACTAGAGCTAGTTTACATTTGTGAGCCCAATTTCCTATTCAATAATGTAAAGCTTCCTTGCATGTCAGCCTAACCCGTTGGCCTGACCACCAAAACAGGTAATATAAAATCATTCAAAGTTGCATATCAGCCATACTTAAAAGGAAGACTAAAAAATGGCTTAATTTGCTCAAACGTACAAAGAATTAAAATGTAAACAAATAACAAAGAGATCATACAATAGCTTCTACTTGATCACCTTGTTTATCAAACCATCATCGATCACGGAGGCACTAATGCTCTTAAACAACTCAAAGAGTGCCTCAACTTCACTGACACTAACTGCAAAAAAAATTGCATTAGAATCAGCATCATAAAAGAGCACCTTCCTGCCAAATAATGCAATTATTTTGGAGAGGTATCAGATTCATCTTTAAGGTGCTGTTTACTGTAACAAAGACAACCTTCAATAGAAAGAAGGATAAATACATTCATGTTTATTTTCAAATCATAATTTGAGATTTCTGGTTTATTTGCATGATCTTCAATGTTTCCATAATAATTTGCACATCTAGTAGTCAGCTATTACTTTACAACCATGACCTATCCAAGTTGCAATAGACTTTTCTCACACATTTTACAATCAAGAATAAGTGTATACAGCGCAATGGCAAGGGAACCCATGACATGCTGACTAGGGTTTCAGTGCTTATATATCATACTATTTACCTAGAGCTCTGTCTTTTACAAGTTTGTGCAAAGGCTTGACTTAGACATAGTTGAATGCCATAGATAAAAAATTATGAACATTCTAAGCACCAAACAATTGTTTTATGTTCCTAACTGAAATAAAGTTGAATGGGTAGTGCCCAAGTTCACACATAAAACCAATTTTGACGACTTTTGCCTATGGGAAATAAAATGGAAAAATTCAGTCAAATCATATGATTACATCACACTAAGGCTTCTGTATATCCACAAGTCATAGCAACCAATACATGTGAAGATCTACTAATTCGACTTTCTCAATGACAAGCAATTTCAATTTGGCAGACCAAAAGCTAGCAAATAAAATCGTGAAACCAATTTCATACATTGCTGGAAACTTTCATGCGCATTTCCTTTTTTTTTTTCCTCTTATCCCTCTCATTGCATTTTCCCCCAACTTCAACAATAATATTTCAAAGAAGATATAAAAGTTAATACAGCCACGAGAATCTAAAACGCCCTTATTATTGGATTGTGCATTCCAAACCAATATGGTTAACTTTTATCTTTAAGGGCGCATAGTATTTTAGTTTTCCATCTTGGGATTTTGTTGAGTTAATGTCCTTTTATTTCACGAGAAAGTGTCTTGCATGTTTGTCAAAAACATGGTAAGATTAGTTCCTTGTTGTTGACTAATTTGTCCGTCCATCAATCAGAACATTAATCATCATTAATGTAAAGCTAATATATATATATATATACTATCTATATATATTACTCAGGCACAAATCTCGATGCATATTTGAATGAAAAACTTTCAAAATTATATTTAGGTCCATTCAAACTTCAATTTTAGCAAACTTATAAAATAAAAAATAATAATAAAAAAATAGCAAACTTTAGTCGAAACTGAGTTAGGGGTGTAAGTGAGCCGAGCTAGCTCGAGCTCACGAGCCGAACTTATCAAGCCACGAGCACGAGCTTGATAAGATTCGGCTCATGAGCTCGCGAGCCGGCTCGAATCATTACTAATATTAAAAAAATAATAATTAAACAAAGTAATATTTCAAAAACTAGTAATTAATATAATATATTTACTTCCAATAAATATTTTGTAATAAATGATACAGTTTTTTAAAAAATATTAAAAATAAATAAATGATTTAGAAAGTATTCTGATAGGAGTTTTTTGAAAATTTGTTTATCAACTATGATACCAATTGTTGTAGCTTTTTTGGAGATAGAAAAGATTTGCTGCAGTTTTTTTTTTGGAAAATGGATTTAGAAAGGATTTGTCGCGGCTTTTTTGGATTTAGGAAGTAATATTAAAGGATGTGTTGTAGAAAGGAACCAAGCGTGTCAAAGGATGTGTTGTAGCTTTTTTGTAAAACGACTCAAGCGTGTCAAAGCTCGTGAGCCCGCTCGAGCTCGTTTATAAGGGGACGTGCTCGAGTTCAAGCTCGCTTTCCGACTAACAAGCTGAGCTCGATAGTGACAAAACTCGACTCGACTCATTTACACCCCTAAACTGAGTGCCTCAACAAAACGAACCCAACCATGTGAAATGTAGTCCGATCCGAGTCCAAATGAACCTAGATAAAGCACTAAAAGCATTATTGAAAACTTCGGGATATTAATTAATTGGATAAGCAAACAATTTCCAAATCTTGCGTACTTATACTCAAATCAATCATCCTGACAAGATGCATGTTATAGCATTATGATCATAGTGTAGTGCAAAGGAAATATAAATGTGAATTCTCATTTTATGACTATTATAGAATGTAATATGCTTAAGTATTTGAAATAGTTAAATGTTAAATTTGCAATTGAGAATGAATGGATTACTAAGATGGTAATGTAGTGTTATATATCTATACGAGTGAAGAAAAATGACATAAACTAAATGAGACTTATAACAAAATTAAAGTATTAAAACAAGGAAAAGGTTTATGCATGAAATTAAAGGAGTTCATCTCCTTATAGTATTGATTGGGGACGTAATGTACCCATACACATTACATAAAAATGGTTGTAACTTTATTGGTACATTTAGATGATGCTCCTGTATTAAATCTAGAGAGAAAATGAATAACTTAAAAATGAAAATAAACAAATGTTATTGGAAAAAGAATATGTTATTTGAAGAATGTAAGAAAATAATTTATGTCATATGAAATGAAAATAATATATATATATATATATATATATATATATTTATATTGACTACAAAAAAAATCAAATGAATATGATTATTTTTATGTAAAAAAAATTCTATGCTACAAATGTGATTATCCACTGAGTTTACTTGTAAACTCAAACTGTTCAACTAAATTTTTAGGTAAATCTCCTGATAAATAAAAATGACTGAAAGTGAAAAATACATTGACAGAAGATGGCAATCAAACAAGAGCAGGTAAAATATACTTTATGTAAATGTTCAAATGTGAAAATTATGTTAGTAGTTCTTCGGTTTTTATATAGAATGTAGATGATAAATTTGTTTGAATTTGAAAGAAATATTTTAACCATCTGACTGTTCATTCCCGCCTCGTTAGTTCGAGTCTCTGGACCAGATTATGACAGGGAGACTAGAGTATGTAAACTCAATAAAGTAATCTATGACCTAAAACAAGGCCCTCGTGTTGGTTTGATAAATTTTGCAAGACCCTTGCAAAATTTGACCTTAAGAGATATCATGCAAATCATCACATCTTTGTTCAACATAACTCGTCAAGCTTAATATGCTAGTTGTTTATGTTGATAACATCCTACTGATAAGAAGTGATAAAATATGAGTCATTGTAATAAAACACAATTTGTTAAAGTGCCTTTTTATTAAGGACCTAGGCCATCCGAAATATCTTTTAGGAATCAAGTTCTTATATAGCAAGTGTCTCTTTATCTCAGATAAACATGTTACTAATTTTTTGAGTTCTAAAAGAGACCAAACTTCTAAGATGCAAACCTACTAACATTCCCATAAATACTCACTAGAAAAGGTTGATTGGGAAGCTGGTCTATCTTATATTCACTAGACTAGATATATTATTTGTTGTTGGGGTAGTTAGTCAACTCATGCAAACTTGTGCAAACAAAATTGGTAAGTTGTCCTATGTATCTTCAAATATATCGAAAAGATCCTTGGAAAAAGTCTCAATTATACTAAACATGATTATTTCAATGTTAAAACATCTCTGATGTTGACTATACTAAGTCTATTGATGATACTGCCACTAGATGCTGTATTTTCATGAGAGGAAACCTAGTCATATGGAAAGCAAGAATTAAATTGTTTTTGCTCGCACAAGTGGATTTTTAAAAACTACACTTTCTGAAAATATGTTAATCACCTTTTGAAATCAAAAAAATAAATCAAATAGTTACCAAACATGTTTTATCCAATTTTTTAAGATAAAAGTTATGTTAAATAGGCCAAAAAACTTTTAAGACCTCTTCAATTTTCAATATTTTGTAACAAGTTTAAGTTCATTGGTACATAAGCCCCACCATGAGAGTAAGTGTTATCACTTATCATATGAAAGATTATAATACGAATTATTATTTTTGAAAAATGCTTTTTGCTTTATTAGAGGGATATGCCTTAATATCTTTCTTCTTTAGATTATTCCCCCTCATAATTTATTTCCTTCTGTCTTCTTCATGTATGGCTATTTATATGCCCCTATATTCTATCAATGATTATTCAGAGAGAAAAACTTTCCTCATAACATGCCTAACAAATATTTCTTTTCTTAAAAACCGAAAAAAAAAAGCCAAAATAAATAATGCATCCATCCACAATTTACTGCTCAACAAAGTTTCAAAGAAAGCTAGCTAGACATGGAGTTATTTGAAAAGTTAAGAAAGTCCAGTAAGCCACCTAGAAGACATAATGGGGATAAATCAAGATATATCTGCTGCTCAAAAACAAGTTCATGAAGTATGTTGAACTAACCAACGAGAATAGGTTCAAGCACCCTCAAATTCAAAACCAGAATAAACAAATGAAATCAAGTATACCATTCCAACAAAATAAAACCATATCCGAAACTTACAAGCAGTTTGAGAAGCCAAAAGAACCGGATCCTCATACCCAGGGAGCTGCTTTCTAACTTTCTTCGATTGAATGCAGCCCATTTACAGCAATAGCCCGTCCTAATCTACCAAATCGCAGTTCACAGCAAAGACATCAATCTAAATTACAAAGCAAAAGCCCATCAGAACACATATCATGCCTCAAAACACCTCTAGATCATTAGAATCCATCAGAAGGAAACTATGAATGGAAACAAAAATAGTAATTAGCGATACCGCGTTCAGAAACCTTGATCAATCGTAACCCTAACGGTGCAAGCCAAAGGCTAGCGCTTGAGTGAAAAGGGAAGGGGAGAGAGAAAGAACTCACAAAACGGAATTTAACGCGGTAATCAGCAGCGCAATTTACGCACGCGGGATTATATATAAGCTACAGAGGCGGGGAGAAGGCGGCGTGCCGTCAAGCGAGGAGCGCAGATCCGACGGCGAGAATTCGGCGGGGTCACCATGGCTGTTTATGGAAGTCTTCCGAATTTTCAAAATCGGTAATTCCGGGAAATAGTTTAGCGAGGGGCTCCGGATACAAATTTATATTCGCGTCAACAAATGACTAAAAAAATTAGCATAAATTTATAATAATTTATTTAATTATAGAGACAAACTAAATTTCAGCTTTATTTTATTGTACGAATTATTGTCAAATAATAATAAAAAAATTGCATTAAAAATATGGAAGATTTACATAAATAATATTTTATTTCGTGTTATTTACATGTCTAATATCAGAAACTTTAATATTGCATTCTTATCACTTATAAAAAATTTTAATATCAAATATATCACTCATATATTTTATTCTTATCATACATATCATCATATAAACTTTAATATTTCATTTCATGCATCCATATTAGTTCTATGGATGGTAGGCATGTAATATTAAAATTTCAGATAATAAATATAAGAATAGCATAAAATAAAGTGGTATATAGATAAATCCCTCAAATATTTAAATGTCCCCTGTAATTACTTCTTTTAAATCATCCATCATTTTCAAATGTTTTATTAGAAAAATTTTCAAATATATCATTAACATTTATTCTATTTATTAAATTATCATCCTTTCAAAATGTCAATTGAAATTTGATAAAAGCCAACAAAAATTTAAGAGAACAAATTTTATTGTGAACTTTAATATTTAAATGGAAATTTCACAATTGAAAAATAATAGTGTTTGTTTTATAAATAATTATAATTTAGCGATATAATATTTAGGTTTCATTTGAGACTTTTTTCTTACTGTTTTGCTTTTTAGATCGCAATAATAATTTTATTTGGTTATTGATTTTTCGTTGCTTTTAAAATATGTTTTTCAAAAAAACTATTTTCACATTTAGCTTTAAAAGGTTAGTTCCTCTACAATAGTTTTACAAACAATAAAAAAATTATCCTAAAAGATAGCATTAGAGTTCGTCTGAGATATCTATAGTTTTTTGTAGAAATGGTTATACAATTACTGTGAAAAAAGGTTTTTTTTTTTAAGTTGTTATAGAAAACAACTTTCTAGCACAAAAATTTTTTGAAATCATTGATCAAATAAAAACTAATATTAAGATCTAAAAAATAAAGCAGTAAGTAAGTTGTCTCAAATGAAGACTTAGTTTTATAAAACCTATATATAATTAATATTTAATTTTATAAATAGTTATCCTAAGTTTGTAACATAAATCTACATATAAACCGATAATATCTTGAGAGATATAGGTTTCATTTGGGGCGGCTTTCTTGATGCTTTCTAAAGCAGCTTTTTAGTATAAAAAATTTTAGTTCAAAAAATGTTTATACTAAAAAATTGTTTTAGAAAGCAGTAAGAAAGTCGTCCTAAATGAAGCCATAGTAATTTGTTTAAATACATACCAAAATTTAGGAGCTTTAAGCGTAATTTATCCTAAGTTTTAAGCTATGTAAACCTTCTCAAGTATACTTCCAATATAATAATTCTAATTTTATGCACAAATATGTATATATGATCTTACTTAAATGGTGATGAGACTTGAATCTTATCTTAAAACAAAGTAAAATGCGAATAATGTTTAGGCAAATGACCAGCGCACAATAAAAAGAATAATAAAAATCATGTGGCTAAGAGTTGTGTTTCCATACAAAGAAAGAGATCATCTATGCCACGAACATTTTATTCAAATAAACAAAACAAGGGCACACTTAGCATGTCCCCCATTTTGTACAAATATAACAGCAAACAGCAAAAAAATAGCTGTTTGGTTGCCAAAATCAACCAACTGATCATTTCTTTTTAGTTTACTACTGTTGTTATTCAAAGAAAGAAAAGTCTCCTTTCATGTTTGCCACTTTGTAAGGTTGAACAGTGTATTGGTGGTAAAGGCCAAAAGAATTTGCTTTCATATGTGTTGTGGTCCCATGAGTTGTCTCATGTATAGGTGGAGAGCTTCAAACACAATAATTGAGCATGTGAGAAATTTGTGATGTGTTTGCCATTTTATCCTAGCTGAGGTGAATCTAGCGAGTTATATAGGTACACATGGACAACTATCTTTGATATCGATTGATGTGTATCTGATAAGTATCTGAGATGATCAAGCGATTTAGGTGTGATTGTCGTGTCTGAATATGTATGGGCGAGTGCACTTGTGATTGGGGTGAGTGCCCTTCTCACATAGAGATATTTCTTTGACTTTTCCAACCTCATTGATTTATTCAATATATGCACATTTGGATGTACATAATAGATAGGAAGAGAGAAAGGAAATATGTATTTGATTTAGTTCAAACCATGAATAGTTTAACCTAGTCCAAGTTAAATTGTAAGTACTATTTTGAAGGAGTATAGTTGTCTGGTATTTTAAAAATAATAATAATAATAATAGGATTCTCTTGATTTGGTGATATATGAAGAATAATATAATTGATATTGGCTTTTAGAAACTAAGGGGATATTCATTTTTTATAAGATTGGCCAAGAGCTGATTAACATAGGAATTAATGCTTTTTATTAAATTTTGTACGTATTAATAACATAAAAAATGAGAATTGTTATTTATATTTTTTCTTGAGAGGGGTGCTAATTCAATCTTTATTAAAACTTATCTAGGAATATTCTTTATTCTTATCAATAATGAGTACATATGATTAGAGTTAATTACTAGTGTATGGATAAGCCTGTCTTTAGGTCGCCAACTCAATCTACCTGTGTGTTGGCTAGGATAAACAAAAAAAAAAATTGTTGCAATGTCCCATGGATAGTGTGGGGCTCATCACCAGTGGTAAAATCTCTTAACAACAAATGATAGGCGTTAACTTTATAATGACCTAACCCAATGAAATATTACATTTTGACGAGTTGCATAATTTTGAGTTTATTTATCTATGAGTTCAAAAGAGTTGGAGAAAATATCATGAGAATTGTATCAAGTACCTTTCTTAAGCCTCAATTTGATAATCTTGTGCTTAGTCCAAAGCATAAGAATTGTATCGCCTCTTCAAAAGTATTCAATCCATTCTTAATGGCATTATCATACCCAATGTAATGTGTCTAAAAACTTTTAAAGAGAAATTTTGTATTATACATTAAAAATATTACTTGTAGAAATTATAACGAGTGGTCACAACAATGAGGAGAGAGAACCTTATATGAGAAAGGAGGAAAAGGTCCTTCCATTTGGCATTTAGTATTCACTAAGGCTCTATCCAATTTAAATTGGATAGGATTATTCTCTTGATTATCAAAATAGGAACAAGAGAGCCCATTGCTATCTAAATCAAGTAATATTAGTTTGTAAATGAAGATATTAAAATTAAAATTTTTAAAAAGCCACATCTCCCAAACGTTCACATTAATTTATCGATCTTATACTGTTAAAATCGCCCATAAGAATCTAATTAGAATTAATTACTATGTACACAAAGTTTGTGACTTCTTAAGGAATTTCCATGTTAAATTTAAATGCAAAATTACACGTGTAAAGTGCAGTAATGAAAAGTCATGTATTAGATAGAATGGAGATAGAATCATGATAATAAGATTTAAATGAAACTTCATAGAATTCCATTTCAGCCAATATCCTTCAAGTTGACCATTATCAAAGTTTTTATAACAATCTTCATCACTAAATTTTAGGTTCGTACACTAAATGTTTTAATTCTTCTACCTACAAAGAAACCTTATAAGTGTTCAAGAGAAAATTTAGAATTAAGAATGATAATGAGGTAAATTTTATAAAAGGGCATCAAATTCTTGCATTTAGAGGCTCTGCCATCACCTTGAATGCCTCTCACATTACACGGAGCTAGGGTTCATAGGTTCTGTCGTCACCCTGAATGCCTTATATTTATGGAACTGGGATAAAAAATTGTATTTATATGAAGTATATAATACAATAAAACCCGTTATGTGGGGCTTTATAGGGACAACTTTGATAATCCACAAATCCCAAGGAAGAATTGAAGGAGCCTTAAAGGGAAGATGAAGTGGGAGGGGCAAATAGTCCATTTCAAATTGGGAAAGAGTGGATTGTTCCTAGTGAGAGCAAGTGATGGAAAGAATAGAATAGATTTTCATTTTGAGGAGGTAATGTGTTAAAGGGAGGAGTTCAATTAGAGTTTTGAGTGGAGGCTCTAAAAGTCGATAAAACAACTTTGGATGGTTTTTTATCATTTTTTTCCTTTAACTTCCATCTCTAAAAAAAAATAGTTTTCGGAACATCAACATTAGATGCATCACCCTAAAATGATGACTATTAGGGATATGAGAGGACTTGCAAACTAAGTAAGTTTTAGGTTTTCAATCAAACACCACCAACTACTCCTTTGTAACACACATTGTCCCATAACTTTGGTAATTAACTTAAATTAGAATGAATCTTGGATTAATTTTGATTTGGTTATTCATTATAAATCATATAGTGTTTGATTAACCATAAATAAGCCAAGGTTTTGAATTGGGAAAGATGAAATCATAAGTAGCCAAAGTATCCTTGGAGCGTTGCAATGCTATGAGAGGCAATGCCATCATATTATCCTCTCTATTTAAGAAGAGGATTTAGGGGAGTGTTATGGCAATGGGTGGCACCACCGCAGTGCTCAACTCTCGAGTTTGAGAGATCAATGAGTACTTGAAATATCCTAACTAAGCACAACGACGCTAGACCCAAAAATCAAAATGATGTTTATTTAATAAAATGTATAAATCCATTTTAACACCCTCACCCTAACCCTATTGCCAGAGAAGGAGATGGAGATGAGAAAAAGAGGAGAGAGATTCAGAGGTCATAGCTAGGGTTTTGTCTGCATGGCCATTTGAGAATTTTGTAGAACATGAGGTAGACTTATAAACATCTATCTCTGATTCTAATTTTAGTGATTTTAAAATAAGTAATAGAAAAAAATATTTTTCTTGGGTTTTATGATATTTTCACCATGTAAATATTTATATATTTAAGTAATGTTTGCTTTAATCCGAACATTTTAACTATAAGAAATCAATTTTTTATTTATTTTTTTAATGATTTATATGTGTATTAAACAAATGAAGCAATTCTAATTTTCATATAAGTTTTTTAAAAGTCTTAAAGTGTTGTTATAATAAATAACAACTAGAGCTATTTAATATCATCTATCAGTAATAAATAAGAAAAAAGATTTTATATTCAAAATATCAATGTGCACATCTATATTCATTTTTAAAAATCATATATAATACTCAGGATCTATACAATCATTATATCTCTATCATGTCCTAAGTATAAAAGAATAATTAAAATAAAAAAGAACCTGAATCTGAAGAAATTATAACCAACCTCACACTCCTAATATCCTCTGTCCAAATCTAAAATCATTTAACCACATATAATGAGCTAAAAAACTCAGCAGGTCGCCAAAACCTATAATTAAAATTCAGAGCACGGAGAATGAGCAATATGCATGTCAATAATCAAGTTATAACATTTATATTATATGATCATTGAATTAGTACATAAATAGTAAAATTCAAATATAGCAGTAGTATAATATATAAACATTAAAACACTATGGTACATAAGTTATTAATTAAAACAGTAAACCAGCATGAGTCTGAAATCTATAAAACATTCGTCGTATCTATAATATCAATTAGTACAAAAATTAGATTAAATATCAATAAAGACTATTGAAATCAAATCAATGTAATAAAAATTATATAAAAATGTATACATGTTATCTAATTTTTTTATATCATCATTAAATTAATATCTTAGTCACATGCTGAATGAATATACCATGCTTTTTATAAAAATAAATTAGTAATATTACTAATAATAAATCTATACAATAATATAAATAATGCCTCAATAATATTTATTTCAGTAGTCATACTAAACAAGTAATAATTATAGTTATTACGATATTTTTCAGTATCGTAACAATGTTAGTAAATCATTGGCTTAGTAAAAAAAGTCGTCACTCTTTGTCCGTCGGCACAGTAATCATCTCCTTATAACTCTCAATCAGTACATCATGAATAAGTAAAGGATAACACCAAATCATAATATTTAAAAGAAAACCTGTTGGCCCACTAAGTCAATCAATCTGTTATTGCCACCACACTTATTAACGACGCTGCACCAACATTATTCTCGATATGGACATTAATATTATTTGATACTACTATTAATTCATTGTACTAATATTAGTATATTAAGCACGTTGTATACTGAGTATGTGACTAAAATACTGATATAGAATAACTTGATAATATATGTACATCATTATAATATTTTATTACATTGATATGATTCCGATAATCTTTACTGATGCTTTGATTTTACTGCTTTATACGTTTTATTTACTTATAGATAATAAATACAACAACTTTTTTATTGATTCGAAACTCATATTGGTTTATTGGTTTCCCTATTGTACTATTTTATTGGCATTTGTACTATACTATTTTACTGTTTTTGAATTCTACTGCTACTATATGTGAATTTTATTATTTTTATACAGATTCTTAATCATATGAGAATTAATTTTATGAATTAACTGATGACATGCATAATGATTCTTTGTCATGCTTTGAATTCAATTCTAAGATTTTAGTGATTTGTTGGGCTCTTGAGCTTATTATATGTAGTTAAATAATTTCAGATTATGAAATATATTCAGGAGTGAGGTTGATTAAGATTCCTTTATATTTAGGTTCTTTTTATGTTAGTTATTTTTTTGTACACTTGACAAATTAGTTGTGATATGATTGTATATATATTGAGTTGTGTATATGATTTTTGAAAAATGAATACATATGTATATATATAGTGCTATTTTGATTGATAGTTTTGTTTTCGCTGATATCTATATTAATAAAAAATTTAGATAGCTCTGGTTGTCATATATATTGAAAAATAAAAGAATAAGTCTTCCAAATTAGATTCTGGGGTTTTGTAAGAATTGTCATGAGCATACTTTTTTAGGCATTTTGAAATCCAATTTTAGTTTTTTTTATATGTATAGATCATATGTTCATTGGATTATTGTATGTGTATATATATATATTATGAAATGAAACTAAAGGATGTTTAGATTGGTATGGTTTTGAATTTTATATTTAGCTTTGATTTATTGCATATTGTGGTTGAGTTAAAATTTAAGTTTAGTAATTTAAACATTCCATTAAATTATGGGGCGTCACAATCTTCATCTAATTAACGTTCGTCTTATCTACATCCCATTAATAATCATAACTACACAAATTCTTTTTAATATTAATCAGTATAGTTAAATAATTGACTAATTAAACAAAACAACAGCCTAATTTGATATATAATTTTTAGTTGATATTTAATTTGGGATTTTTCTCTTCATAAAATAATAAATAATAAAAGATAATTTTCTAACCACATTCACTATAAAATTATTTTTTTATTTCATAAAAGTAAACTTTTAATCATAGCAACCGCCCATTATTTATCAAAATACTAAAAATAATTTTGTCTTTTCAAATTATATTTCAAGAAACTATCGTGCGGTGATTTCTATTATTTTTTATAAAAACTATTAAAATACTTAAATTAAGATTATAATTGTTGCGGGCTAGAAATTACGCGGCGATAGAGACTTGATTCTACGTCTTAGTGTTGTACGTATAACTAGCACACACAGAGAACACAAGATTTTTTACGTGGAAAACCCTTAAAAGGGAAAAAACCACGAGGCCTAGCCCAGTTGAAAATGATTCCACTAGATTTTGAATTGGTTACAAAGGACTGGATCACCTCCAGGGGGGAACAGATTACAATTAATTACTTAAGTAAGAGTCTCCAACTAGCTTTTGCCTCGAGATTCGTGCCCGATTAAGCTAATTTTGTGATGACTTATCAATAATACATGCTTTTGAAATTTAATTGGACTTTGATATAGAATTTTTGTGACTTTTTATTAATTTAAGTAAAATTTTGTTAAAAAAAATAAGAAATTCGAACCAAATATTAGTTTCAAATTTAATAAAATTTTTAATCAAACTCTGTTGAAATTAAAAAATATGAATTATTGGACTAATTTTAACAAGGAACTAGGAAAGGAACCGAAACAAATGAAATCTATAAGATCTGATTTTTTTTAGAACGATCATTGGCACTTGGCAGCTTGACTAATCCCAACTGATCTAAAAGAGGGATCCACCTCAGAAACTTCAAAACTTGCATTTAATTGGACCCACTTAAAAATGATAGATTATTGAGTTCGGACACCGAACTCAGCTTACGTTCGGTACTTCACAGTACCGAGCAGTACTAAGCTCAATATTGAGCAGTACAGAGTTCAGTGTTTTACAGTACCGAGCACTACTGAGCTCGGTTCTGAGCAGCACCGAGCTCATAATTGCTCGGTACTGTGAGCTCAGTACTAAATAGGGGGTGATGTGATGCATTTTCATTGGGCTCTGGACGTCGTCTGGTGTCCAAACCCAATAATTTTCCCTTAAAAACACTGTAAGATCCAAACTTAGACAGCATGGCAAAGAAACTGCGCCCAATTCCCAGTCGTTTACTGCTATCATCCAAATCTTGATCAACAGTGTTGATCGAAATACTTAAATGGGGTTCGACCTTGATATCTTGCATTAACTCTCATCGGGATGAGAGATTATTGGGTTTGGACATTGGACAAAGCTTACGTTCGGTACTTCACAGTACGGAGTAGTACTGAGCTCGGTACGGAGCAGTACCGAGCTCATAATTGTTTTATACTATGAAGTACCGAGCTCAATACTAAATAGGAAGTGATGTGACGCATTTTTATTGGACTCCGGGCGTCGTCCGAACCCAATAATTTCCCCTTAAAAACACTGTAAGATCCGAACATAGACAGCATGGCAAAGAAACTGCGCCCAATTCCAACCGTTTACTTCTCTCATCCAAATCCGGATCAACAATGTTGATCGAAATACTCAAATGGAGTTCGAGCCTGATATTTCGCATTGACTCTGATCGTGATGCTGCTGCCCTATCGAGTTAGGTGAGAATACCGATATCGTCGTCTTCAGAATCCGTCTGCAAGGTCTAGTCAACCAGAACCCTTGTTTCTCCCTCTCTGCCATTTCCTCAATGGGAAGGAAGCAGAGCGACCAGTCAGGCAGTGGGAGTCGGCGCTCGGTTTTGATCCCCGTCCTTCTCTCCGTTACCTCCTGCATCCTCGTTTACACGGTTTCGTCGTGGGTCATGCGCCATCCGATGGACACCGCGTCGTCTGACGGCGGTTCATCAACGATTTTAGCGAGACTGGAACGAGTTGATGCAGAGGTTGAGGGTGAAGATATGGGGGAGTGCTGCCGAGGATTAGAGCATTTGGAATTATGGGGGTCGGCTGTAAAATGGGGAACCGATCACAAGTTCAATACCTCGAGAGAGTGCTGCCAAGCATGCAAAGCCATGTGCGGTGGCGTGGATGGACCTTGCTTGTGCGATTCGTGGGTGTTCTGCGGGGACAGAGAACGATGCCGAGAGAAATTCGGGGAGGTAAACTTTAGCAATTTTCTCTCACTTGCCCTTTTTTGACAATTTGATTTATTCTGATGTCCTTGGATATGATAAAGTTTGCGGCATTTTGGCGTTGCATCTTGGTGGATTATCTAGTTTCTTTATGCTTCCTTTTTAATTAATTATTATTTTTTACCTCTTTTCCGACCCTATTCATGCCTACATATATAATGAAAAGTAGAAATGCATAACATTCATGGGTTATTGGGTTTGTTGTGTGGTTTTCTGTTGGTAGATCCAAATTTTCTAATCCGTTTTACAAAATTTGATATGTTTCGTTGTTTTTGGCTCTGGGGAAGATAATCATAAGACCGTGGAAGTCAGAGAAAATTGCTACGCATTTTAACAATTTATTTTTCCGGGGGCACTGTCATTCCATTATTTTGTTGATTGATCTTCAACTATTGTAAAACATCAACTGATTATGGGATGTATATTTGAGATGAAGTTATTTGATTGTTAGTTTGTATGTTCATTGGACTTCTCGGTATGTGTGCTTGCTTGATTTGATATTGTTTATGAAATTATTATTCCGGAGGAGGATGGGAGTAGCTGAAGATGGTTCTACTTTATAATTTTTGTTATGCATTTTAATATATTCACCAGAGCCCTGCATTGGGTGCCCATACCCACCCCCACCCATGTACCCACCCATACCCAATGGACATGGGTGGGTATGGGTATGTTCATGGCCTTGTGGGTAAGTATGGGTGGGTACTCAACATCAGGGGACAAACTGATTTACATTACTACTCACCATATGCATGCAGTATATTACAGTAATCCTTATTATGTAGTGTGCAACACTGAACCGTGCTGCGACCATGATAAATTTTGATATGTAACTTGAAAGTTTGTAGTTAAAGAAAAGGGCAACAAACCTCAAGGCCATTAATCCGCGGAAGATTGTATTCAAGAAGCATGGAAAGTGGATGGGTGTGGGTGGGTATAACATACCAAAAGTCACCATAGGTGGGTATGGGTGGGCAAAGCCCGCCAGCACAAAGCGTGGGTACCCAATGGGTACCCAACCAGGATCCCATGTAGGGCTTTGATATTCACATGCTCTTAACTTCATTTGTCTTCTTCTCACCTCAGTGCTGGTTGAAGAAACAGAAGGATGTCATGCTTCCTGCTTTGCAAGAGTCAGGGGACAAAGTTATTTGGACTTCTGGCCTTATATTTGGAAAGGGAGAGGTACGTTAATTTTGTTGATGTTTGCAGATGAGTGTTTTTTTTTTATGGTCTGGCTACTTATGTTGAGCTTTCAGCCACCATCGGATAAATGTTCAATTTTTTTAGTGATCGTTACTCTTTTCTCATGTTTATTTTATGCGTCAATTAGGATGCATTTGAATCATCATTAATCTCTAATCAGGTAGACCTTTCCCATTGGATTACAGTGAAACAATGAGAAGTTTGGCATCTTAAGAATGTGAACCAATTTGAAAATCTTGTAAAAACAAAGAACTTAAAAAGCCTTTCTTTATGTAACCCTTGGAGTAATTTAGGCTCATAAATTTTGTAGCAACTTAATGTGTCATTTATTGTCCACACCAAAATTTAGATGGTCTTAGTGTCAGCCAAAAATTTTTTCCCATCTAAACTGTTAGAATTGAATAATTTGATTGAGATATTTTGTATATTTCACTCAACTGTTCAATTGCTGCACCTGAAAACTGAGTTTTTTTTTCTCAGAATATTTTTATATTTTATGAACTTTACACCTATATTCTGAGTAAAATATGCAAAATTATTAACTTTCAGTTTAAAGATAGATAACCTCATTTACTGCAGTCAACTACTCCCAGTATGATTTACTGAAAATCTTTTCATTCAGGATAGATTTAGTGCTAAGATCTGCCTTGCGCTTTTCTGAAGTTGGTTCTTGATTGATGCATTTACTATTGATAGGTGGGGGATGTTGGGAGATGGAAGTTAACCACCACAATGAAACAAACAAGAAAGTAAAAGCAATGGAAAGTAAAAGGACATCAGGATTTGACGCGTAAAAATTCAAAATTGAGAAAAAACCACGGAGCCACGCCACACCAAGAAATTCATTATGAAAATTGGAAGAAATAAATACAGATCTCTCTTTTCTCTCACTCTCTCCATGTTACTCTACACTTTTGCAATGTTCTCACCCTTTAAACACAAGAGAAAGTAATTAAATAACACCACGAGACACCACCCTTCAGAAAAAATGAGAAAGCAAACTGTCCAGTCCGCCTCTAAGTGTTGCGGCGCCAGATTGAGTGTTGCGGCCCTCAAACCTCTGTCATCGGTCCATCAAACGATGTTGGGGTGCTCAAACCCGCAACATTGCGACACTACATAGCATTGCGGCGCTGAATCTAGGACGTTGCAGCGCTTTGCTCTCTGTTGTTTCTCCCAGCAAATAATGTAGCACCGTGGCGCTCGGGTACACATTGCTAATGCGTTGTACGAAAAAGAAATTTTTGGGTGCAAAGTGTCTGAACCCAAGTAGAGGGTACCCCCAACCTCCCAATGAGCACGAGAAATATAATTAAAGTCCGAGGCAATAGAACAATCCGATTGATAGACACAATTAGATTCTACACAAACTAATAGAGGATTGCCAAATCTGAAACTCTTATCTCCAAGTATCTTGATTTGCATGATGTCCATTTTCTAACTGATGACAAACATTACTTTTCTTCCATTATAACAAGTTGATGCAATAGTGCAAGCACTTTGTTCGTATCTTGGATGAAAAAGCTTGGCAATCATGACCAGTAATTTTTAAACTTGCCCCAAACTATTTGGTGTTGACTTTATCAAAAATCCCCTTCTCCAGTTAAGGATATGATTTGTCACTATCTGAATAAGTGGATACAAGAAAACGAAGGGTTTGAACTTTTTATCTTTCTAAGATTAAGAATATATGACTACTAATGGATACCTACATCAATTCCTAGGGAGATTCATTTCTTCGAAGTCCTTGCAAGTTATACCCCACCCTTGTAATGTTCTGTACTTGGAGGCGAGTGTGTGGCACAGTGGTGAATGGCAAGGAATTCCTCCCACTAACCCTAGCTCGAGTCCCATAAACCACCCGAAAAAATTTTAAAAAAAAAAGTTCTGTACTTGCAATGGTTTGAATTCCTAACAGTACTTGGACTTTTTGGATTATTGACTTTCTATTCCCACTTGATTTCTTTATTAATATTTTATTATGTTATTTCTGTGAAAGGACTGTTAGCTATAGTCAGTATTGCAACAAGCATGATCCTTACCTTTGCATTTCTGATAAAATTTTTCCACAGTGACAATTTCTTATTCTATTTTACTATATTTTATCATGCAGGGCATTGTTAGCTTGGAAACAGAATACGGAAACATTCATATTAAAGTAAGCGTTAGATAAATATTTTATTAATTTTAACCTGATAAATTTTGTTTGCTATTTATCGTGGCAGGAAATTCTTATTTGTCATATTATATAAAGCATACCCCTTGTTTATTCTAAGATAATACTTAAGAACTTGATTAATGATAATTTTCTATTTATTTTGAGTTCATCTCTCTTCAAACTTGAACTGTGTCAAGGAGTCCAACCTTAACATTTATGGGATTGTTGGATCCATAATGTTCGTGGATAATAATCCAGATCTTACTTGAGAATTGAATAAAGGCTGAATGCGAGAATCGGGAGAGAAGTTAGTTTTTAGAGAATTTCTTGGGGAATTGGATTACAGAGAACTTGGCCGATCCTCTTTAACTAGATAAGGCTAGTCACTCAAAGTTAAGGGAACTCAATTCAATGAAAGAGAGATTTTGTCCGAAAAATTTACGCCATAATTGATATGATTTCATAACTTTCTGGATCCGGTTCAAGTTCACATTGTTACCTGAGTAATCCGGCTTAGGTGAATATAAGCGTAGAAGCCTGAAAATTTTCTATTTTTTAGATAATCTGTTGCTACAGTGGAATATAATATTACAGAGAGTCGCCTTTGATGGTTTGGTCACATTAAACGGAGGCCTTCCGATGACCCGGTTAGGAAAGTTGAGTTATTAGATTTGACTATGTTAAGAAAGGTAGAGGTAGACCTAAAAAGACTTGGTTAGAAAATATTAGAAATGATCTTTCTTTATTAGATTTAAATGAGAATTTGACTTTTAACCAGACAAAATGACGAAAAAGGATTCATGTAGCTGACCCCACATAGTGGGACAAAAGCTTGATGTTGTTGTTGTTGTTGTTGTTAGATAATCTGTTCAAGGCTTTTCAAGTTTCTTTATAATCATGAAATAAGATGTTAAACGAACTCAACTGATATATTTGGTATTTATCTCTACTGACATATTAACATCAAAACAGCTTTTCCCCGATTGTGCTCCACACTCCGTCGCTTACATTGTTGAATTACTGGGAGCTCGACACTGTGCCGGTTGCCGAATTTACCGTGCCGAGGGACGGGGACACTCATGGGATCCTGTAGGAAACCACATAACAGAGGTGCTGCTCAATTCTCTTTCCAGTTTCCACAATACTGGCACTGTATCATCTTACAAATTTTTTTAATAACGTTCCATTTGTACTGGATTCAATCCTTTGTAGGCTTCCTTTGGCCCCCCTTACGCCCTTATTCAAGGAACACTGGAAGCCGAAGGTCTTCCTTTCAAAGGTATACCTGTAGAAGCTTGCCCCACAATCAAAAGAGGCTCTGTTGCTTGGGTTGGTGCAGGCCCAGAGTTTTTCATCAGCTTGGCTAATCACCATGAATGGGTAAGAGCATATACCATCTTTGGCTCTGTCCTTCCCGAAGATATGGAGATTGCTGAGAAAATTGCTGGACTTCCAACCAAATCGGATACATGGAATAGTGTTAATGTATCAGTGTTAGAGAAACCAATTGATTTGAAAATCAAACGCATTTCCACAAACAATGGAGACCTCAATCTTGGAAGCAATGCAAACTCTGGCTCTAGCTGATTTTGTTTCTTTCACATTATAAAAGGAAATGAGAGACAAACTGTATGATGTTGTTGTAGGCGTTGAGGCTTTTTGCTGACTAAACATTTTTTTTATGCTTTTCCATTTTTCTCTTCTGAAGTTGGAAGGTTCAATGGTTTACTTGCAAGTATTCCAAAGGAAAAAGAAAGGGAAGTTGCAGCTTCTTGTGAGTGTTCAATGGAACTAGTTGCGTGTGTTCATCATCTACTAGCAAACAATTTATTGCTTTGCATTTTTCCATGGCTTTCGAATGGGGAAGTAGCATAAAATAATAGATAAAAGTAAAACAGTTGGGTCTAGGAGAAATTATTTTGTGTATGTCGAATGCAGCTCTATATCTGGAGATTAATCAGAATGAGACACGTCAACAATACTGAGTGCGGTACCGAGCAGTACCGAGCCGCGGTACCGACGTGGCTCATTTTGATTGGTCTCTAAATGATGTTCGGCATCCGTACAGAATAATTTCTCCATCCGTAGAGAGGAAGGGAGAGTGTTGTAAAGAGAGTGTGAGTGAAATATAATAGAGAAGTTGAGCATTTAGAGGAGATTGGGTGGCTCATGGTCAATGAAAAGAGGGGGGTTGGATGGCTCATGATTAATGAGAAGAGGGAGAGCAATGAAGAGGAGATTAGGAGCAATTTTAATATTGAACATCAACTATCTTGTACATAAGTTTTTGGTCTCTTAATGAGGAGGATGGCTCAAATACTACAGCAACAAATTTGTATGGCACTCCTTGGGGTCGCATCCTATTTTTCTTGTGTATTGTTAAGAGTTAAGTTCTCATTTAAATCCAATAAAAATGTTACTTCTAATACTTTCTAACCAGGTCTTTTAAGTTTACTTCTATCTTTCTTAGCGTAGGACAAATATAATACTTATATAGGACAAATATAATACTTATACTCTCCTAATCGAGTAATTGGATGGTGATAGGAAATACCTGAGTTCGCAAGTAACCCTAAGGTTACATTTGAGTTCTCAAGCAATCCTAACATAAAACAAAGAGCAAATAGCATCCAGAAAAATAGCAAAACCACAAGAAAAACTAAGAGAAAACTCAAGAAGAAATTTGGATTCTACTAGACGATGAATAAAATAGCAAGATACAAGAGATCCTCAATTTGAGAGGAGGATCGTCTCTACCAAATCTCTAGACAAAGTTGTCTAGAGCCCAACCTTCCAAGAAACCTTAATTTCAATCAACCAAAACATAACCTCTCCCTAATCCCCTCATGCACTTTAATACAAAAGCTTTCCTAATCTAATTTCCCTCCCAAAGCATTGGCCTTCTCTCTCTCTTTATTTGAAAATCAAATAATGGGTGGGACCCATTCATTCATGCGGCCCAGAGAAGGAAGAGGCGGACTGTGTCGGCCTCTTATACACCCGCTGGACTGGCCAACGGGTTTTCTGAGCCAGTTCGGACAGAACCGATGTAACAGAAGGTTGATATTTTATGTAACCAAATCCTTTAAAACAACTCTCTCTAATCTTATTTGCCACTGAAGCTAGCTATTCCCGCCTTTTCATGTATATAATTGTTCACATTTAGCCTTTAAGAGTAAAACCACTCATCCACCTGAGCATCCTCATCTCTGTAATACTTAGCTTAATTTTATGCTTCTCTTTTAATGACCAACATTATGCGTCATAAAGAATTACATGCCTCACCATTATCTTATAGAATTTTCACTTAAGTTTAAGGGGTAATTTTCTATCACATAACAGATCCGATGCATTTCTTCACTTCAAGGGATAAATTAGAGGTAACACCCAAACACATACGTGAGACTCGAATCCAAGATTTTTTAGTTGGGAGTCAATCTTCCAACCAACAAATCAATGAGAGCTACGTTATTCTCATCTATTTCACTATCAATTTAAACAATAGATCTGAGATATCTAAAACATATACTCTTTTTAATGGAACAAGTTTCATTGACCTTAGCTAGCCAAAATCCAAACTTTCACAGAAAAATAACATTTCCCTATGAAAACTTGGACATCATGAGATCATGTGCGACATCAAGTTATATTTTTATTAGCAGCCATAAACTTTTCAGTCTGGTACAGTAAGTGCGATCATCCCTAACTGAAAAGCACCTTCAGAAACATCATGCCATGATTGCCAAGGAAATATAACAAAATTGTCTTGTTCATGAGGTTACTAATTAAACTAAATTGTTCACCCACCATAACAACAAAATTATTTATTTGTCTTTATATGATCACTATTGTAACAAAATTAAGTTAAGCATTGCAGAGATAAAGATGCTTTGATGGATAAGTGACTTCACTCTTAAAGATGAAATATAAAAAGAGTATACAAAAAAAGGTTGGAGTAGCATGTGACAAATAAAATTAGATATTTGCCTTACATATTTTGGTTAAGTAAAATATCAGCATTTTGATGACCCAATTAGGAGAGTGAATGTATCACAGTTGTCCAATGTTATGAAGGATAGAGATATATATTAAAAGACTTAGTTAAAAAATATTAGAAATACCCTTTTTATTTTTAGATTTAACCAAGAATTTAAGTCTTAATAGGATAATAGAAAAAAAGATTCACGCAGTTCACATACGCAACTCAACTCAATTTGTTTGTTGGAAGCTTTGGTTACTAACCAAAATGTCTTTGATTAGAGTTTTACGTATGTGATATGCGTGTGTGAATTTACTTTCATTGACCTAAATGTTCTAAAAAAAACCAACACAATGGCATAAAGTTTAGATTTAACCAAGAATTTAAGTCTTAATAGGATAATAGAAAAAAAGATTCACGCAGTAAACATACGCAACTCAACTCAATCTGTTTGTTGGAAGCTTTGGCTACTAATCAAAATGTCTTTGATACGAGTTTTACGTATGTGATATGTGTGTGTGAATTTACTTTAATTGATCTAAATGTTCTAAAAAAACCAACACAATGGCATAAAGACTTAATATTATTATTATTGTTGTTGCAGTAGTATTTAATAACGATTGTAGGTCTAAAAAAGAGCATACTCAGTGTATCAAACCCACTACTATAGTACTGTTCAAAGAAAATATGGAAATTATATATATAATAAGACCATGTAACAGATAAATTTCAACGTTTTAAAACTCTAGCAGAAAATTGGAAACATAAAAGTGAAAAATAAACCAGGGAAGTAGCTGTAAATACAAAAACCACATCAGCTTATTATTCCCTTATACAACAGCAGTCTTCTGCTGATCGTCAAAAACCCAGTTCTTCCACGATCTTGCTCTTCTCTTCCTCAGTCTCTCAGCAACAGCGAAAGCCAGCTCTAAAGACTGTGAAGCATTCAGTCTGGGATCACAGTGTGTGTGATATCTAGAGCTCAAATCATCGAAGGTCACAGCCTTTGACCCACCGATACACTCAGTTACATTTCGCCCTGTCATTTCCAAATGAACTCCGCTGGGGTGGCTCCCCTCTTGTTCGTGGACGTCAAAGAATGCCCTCAGTTCAGACTGAATGCGCAAAAAATATAAATGAATCTCATATTTTGCCTGTTTATGATTCATAAAGAACATAGAAAAAAATGGTTTTTTGTATGCTTACTCTAATAGCATCAAATGAGCGCGTCTTCAAGCCACATGGAGCCTTCATGGTGTTTCCATGCATGGGGTCGCTCACCCAAGTAACTATGAGTCCAGCCTGCCGCACGGCTCTGATCAGATGTGGAAGCTTTAGTTTCATGTTCTCAGCTCCCATGCGTGCAATTATGGTCAATCTACCAGGCTTGTTGTGAGGATTCAAAATCTCACACAATTTCACAAGCTCGGAAGGATCCATCTTGTCACTCGCCTATATGGAGATACACCGATACAAGTATGCTTAAAAAACTTGAGGGGAGTGGTTTGTAAAACATAGGCTTCGTTTGGGATTGACTTTCTTTCTGCTTCTTAAAGCAGTTTTTTAGTATAATTTTTTTAATTTTTTATTAAAAAGCTGCTTTATGAAGTAGTAACAAAGCTGTCCCAAATAAAACTATAGTATACAAAGAGTTGTATGTAGGACGTTATTATACTTATATTTAAAAAAAAAGAAGGATAATCATAAAATTGAAAAATTGAAAACCAATTAGCAAATCGTGCCTCAATACAAAGACTGAAGTGTAAATTAGCCCAAAAACATACATACCACTTTATATCATCCTATTTGCATATCTAATACCCAAAACTTTAATATTACATACATACTACCCTATATTATTTTAATGTCAAATATGTCACTCATATTTTCTTCCTGCCACTCATATATTTTATTTCTACCACTCAAATTTGATATGAAAATAAACTATGGGTGGTATGTATGTAATATTAAATATTTAGGTGTTAAATATGTAAATAGAATAGTATATGGTGGTACGTATGTAAATCTCCCAATCTACAAAACAATCTTGGATGAAAGTACACCATAGTGAAGACATGAGCTCTAGGATATTATGGATTACTTCTTTGATCAAGGCAAATGACTACAACTCAAATCAACATAACAAATGGGCTAAATAGAGATCAATAAAATGATGATATTTTCCTTAAGCAACACCATATTTCTATTTTAACATGATTTGTAACATTAAGTACCAAAAGAACACAGATAAATAGATAATGGTAGCAGATGATGGTACAAATTCGACCTTCCATATAATTCTATGTTATGATGGGCAAATGGAACATGATAAAACTTTTAGGAAAACTTCGTTTGGGACAGCTTTTTTCATGCTTCTAAAAACAGTTTTCTAGTATAGAAATTAAAAATTTTGTACTCGAAAGCTGCTTTAAGAAGCAGTAAAAAAAGTCATCCCAAACGAAGTTGAAGTCTCATGAGAAAGCATCACCTTTATGCCCAAAGGATTGGACACCCCACGAAGAAATTCAACATGTGCACCATCAAGTTGTCGAGTCCTCTCACCAACCCACAACATATGAGCTGAACAATCATAGTAGAGACCCGTTGTCGAATCCTCTCTCGTAAGTGCTTGCTCATAAGGCAGGTGAAGACATTCATGTGATGTCCAGAAATCTGTTGTCGTCATTATAGGATGATCACCAGTAAGACCAGCAGCAATCATGAATCCAAGAGCGTCATCTACCCTCTGTGCCAACTCCATATATCTAAACATAATAATTCAAAAGAAAATTTTCAACAGGAGCATCAAGCTCTGTAATCTGTATCAAAACATTTTACAAAAATCCTCATTTTTGAACCAATAACATACAAGTATAATCAAGTATGGCGCTTTTTCTTGTTTTCTTTTTTTTTTTAACATGTTTGATATGTAATTAGGCATTTATCTTATTAACCTAATTATCACATGAATGGCAATAGTTATTCATTCAAACATCTAAGATTTTTCTTCAAGCTCATGTAAGGATAATTTCTGGATAAAATAGTAAATGGAACCCTGAACAATTTTCTTTTATTTACACCTTCTTTTGTTTTTCAAAATGAAAATGCAACAAAAGATACCTATTCCCTTGCTCACTGTGCTCCACGAAATCAAGATTCCATTTTGTAACTCTTTGAATAGATGCATAGCCTCCTGTAGCAAATGCTCTAAGAAGATTCAAAGTACTTGCAGATTGGCTATAGGCTCTAATCAACCTTTTCGGATCGGGCCTTCGAGCCTCTTCGCTAAAAACATCATTGTTGATGTTGTCTCCCTGATAACTAGGAAGCTTCACACCATCAATGGTCTCAAAGGGCTCCGATCGTGGTTTGGCAAATTGCCCTGCCATTCTTCCAACCTGATAAGCATTACTAAAACATTAAATTCACAATCAAACAAGATGGCAAAAAGGCACCAAGCAAATGCAAAAGGGGATGTATTTTTTAGGTTAATCTTGAAGAGCAAAGCAATATTTTTAATTACAAAAAAGAGCTTATTAACATTCATATAGTTCTACTTAGTTTTTCTTCGTTACGATGATAAACTGATAACTGGGCCGCTAAAAACCCACTTTGAATGCCTGGGATGTAAGAAACACAAGCAAATAAAAAACAAAAAGATAGAAAAAAAAGGAGAAACTATTATCCTCGTTTACAAAACTTAAAATTTGACTCCGAAAATGGGTACGCTACAGTAATTTTCCACAAAGTCCGCTAATATCAATAGTAGCATGCAACGGGCACAGTGAAAGATGAAAAAAATAACAATTACTTTCATTGATATCTTTCTATTCGAGAACAAAACAAAACAAGGCCTTATGACGTTTATTGCATCAGATTCGAACCGTTCGGATCCTCTCTGTCTACAGCGTGGGTCACTGTAGCACTGCACTTTATTGTAGACAGAGAGGACCCAACATGTTGGGTGACCTGATGCAATAATTTGCCCAAAAAATGTCACTCAAAAGTATGGGAATTTAAAGACGAGAAAGGCATTGGGAATTTTACTCGACTTGATTTATAAAAATTGGATTGATATTAGGAAAAAAAAAGGATAAAATTTAGGCACCTTAATGATGGGCATCTGTCCTCCAAATGCTAACACAACTCCCATCTGCAGCAAAACCCTAAATGTATCTCTGATGTTATTGGCGTTAAACTCCTTGAAGCTCTCGGCGCAGTCGCCCCCCTGGAGAAGGAACGCCCTCCCCATGGCAGCCTCACCCAGTCTCTCCTCAAGCTTCCTCGCCTCGCCGGCGAACACAAGCGGCGGATAGGTCTCCAAATTCCGGAGGACGGACTCCAGCTCCGCCGGGTCCGGGTAGGTTGGAATCTGGAGCGCCCTCTTCGATTTCCAGCTACCTGGAGACCAAGTTGAGGCCGTAGCCCGCGCTCTTACTCCCATAGAAACGTTAATCCTCAAAAAATCGAATCTTTTTGATGATTCATGGTTTCTGGGAGCTGTCCGCCGTAGAAGGGAGGCGTTTGCACCTGGAGTGAGGTTGACTCTACCGGTCAGGGCTGCCATTGATGATTGATTGGGAGATGACCGAAGAACGCCCCGACAAAGTTACGAATTTTTAGAAGAAGATAGAGCACCTCTGCCGCCGTTGAGGTTTTCTTTGTCTTGTCGCTGCGTTTTTTATCTCCCGCCGATTTAGGGGGAAGGCAAGCGAGAGAGCGAGCGAGGGAGATATTTCCAGCTGTGCGACGTATGTCAACCTTCCGCGTGGGAACCTTAATTTGTGACAATGCAATTATTTAATTTATTTTATTAGGTCTTTCAAATTATAATTTTTTTAAAAAAAATTAAGGGAATTATAGGAATTATAATAGTTTTTTACAATGATTAATATTTATAGGGTTGCATCGTAAATAATTGGAAATTTATTTTAAGGATTATTTTATTTGTAGTGAGCGAAGGACCCAGCGCCAGATGTGAGTAGGATTGAAACACTCGTCATTATTTCTTAATTGTTAATTAAATAATTGATTTAAAACTAATAATCAAAATTAATTTGTCTATCATCGATGACATTCATTCATATTCAATAATTTGCGCATTAGGAACTCCATAAAATTTTAAAACATTCTGGAATTACTTATAAATTTTGAGATTTACTTCCATATCATTAAATTCTTATATATATATATATATATAATCAAAATCTCTAAAATACATAAAATGTCATTGATTTAAAATTAGTTAAAATAAAATATATATTTTCTGAATATATTATGAAGTGATTTAGATATTAAAATTTATATGATCAAATATAAATATTTAAAAGTTAAATATATAATATATAAGATTAATATACTAATATTTATTAAAATTACAATTTATTATGTGATTAATAATTTGGAGGATTTAATTTGAGCTATATATTCAAGTTTTTTAGCTATTTAACTTGTTTTATTTCAGTTAAATCTATTTGAAGATTGAAGGCATTTTCTTCAAGCATTTTTTTGGAAGACTTTTCTGTATTTTATAAATTGAAGACAGATTTTTCAAGCAGTTAAAAGTGTAATTTATAATTTTCATATTCAAATTTATTGTAAACTCTTTTGTATTTTGTTAATTGTTTTTTAATTCAACAAAGCAACAAAATATAAACTGTAAATTCTTTTGTATTTGATAAATTGCTGTAAATTCTTTTCTATTTTGTAACTTTTGTTAGCTGATTTATAGTTTATATTTTGTAATAATTATTGCAAAGTGTAAAATGTTTCTAATTTAATAATTTATAGTTTGTCCTGTGTAAAATGACAAATAATTTGATGAAATGAGACAGGCCCCTAACTGTAAACCTTAATCCAAATAGGAGATTCTTTTTTTTTTTTCAGGTTTTTTTTTCTCTCTTCATTTTAACTGATGATTCTGGCCTTCTTAATACCATTCTCCATGTGAATTCTTGCTTCTAAATTCTTATGGGTTGAACTCTATTGTTTTAAGTTCTGTAAATTTTATCTGCCAAGAATTCCAACTTCAGAATTTTTTGCTTCGAAATTTTGGCAGGTCGTGCTGGGTTGACTCGGGTCTAAAGCGGGTTGAATTCGGGTTCAAGAAATTGAATATAGTGCCAGGACATTTTCAAGTTGAACCCAAAGCGACCCAATTCTGACAGTCCTAGTTAGAAGAGTTGGTTTGCCCTCTATAGGTACTCTTCACACTTTCTCTAAAGCCAAAATAATTTGGAAACACTACAATATCAAATCCCTTTTTTAAGGTTGATGCAATAAAGTTTATGGTTTTATTTGGGCTAAGCCTAATAGTTATTCCTCTCCTTTTTGGAAACAACTTCACAGCATTGCATTCAAGCAGAGAAAAATATGATGGAATTTATAGTTGTTTCTGATGGTAACGCTCTTTTTTCCTTATCATTGGATGAAAGGTCTATTGTGGAAGGCTTTCTTACTGCTTTAAGAAGTATAATTAAGAAGCAGAAAGCCAAGCCGTCCCAAATAAAAACTTAATTCTTTGATGGTCTGTTATTCTTACACAACAAAATAGCACAATTCCCTATAACTTTTTTCATCTTGGGGTAATATGTTAGAGATGCTTAATCACTGTGATAACATATCATGTAAAATCAATAAAAAAATTTTCTTGTTGGTTGTACAAGTCACTGCATATTATACGTGGCAAGAAGGAAACAATCGTATATTTAGAGGTAAGTTTTTGAATGTCAATAACATGATTGAAAAAAATCAGCTTTGTTATTAGATTGAAGACTAGATGGGATCACAATTCAGATTTGTATCAGTAGTGAGTTTCTTTTTAACTTTGTTTGCTCATTTTCGTTTAGTTCTTGAGCCCTGTTTTGTCACCTTGTATGACAATCCTATCTAAATATGTCCCATTTTGTTGTTGTTCTTTTGGTTATTCTGAGCCTCATTATTTTGTTTTACTTGAAGAAAAGAGAATGCAGGCATCCCTCCATTAAGAAGAGAAGAGGCGAGTTGCTGAGAGTATTGAAAGGAACTTTCGATAAGGAGATTTAGATATTCAAAAAGTCAATGCAAGAACCCAATTATCTACCTTAGGAAACTTGGATCCACTTGAGAGAGACCTTATATCATCAAAGAATATGTCAGACTTCCCAGAATGTACATAATTCAATCATGTCTAATGAATAATGGTGATGATTTTAAAACATTTAACCACGAAAAGAAAGCACTCAGAAAATCTCGCAAATTGTATATTGAAACAATAAACACAAAAAATTCTAAATCTTAGTTCTTTTATCTTTCTTCACACACACACATATATATACTACAACAACAAGTCTTTATCCAACTATGTGGGATCAGCTACATGAATAAGTTTTTTTTTTCTTTATGTCATATTAAGAGTCAAATTCTCATTTAAATCTAATAAAAAAAGTCATTTCTAACATTCTATAACAAAATTTGTTTAGGTCTACCTCTACCTTTCTTAACATAAGTCAGATTTAATCCATCTACTCTCCTAGCTGGGTCATAGAAAGGCCGACATTTTATGTGACCAAATCATCTAAGGTGACTTTCTCTAATCTTATATGCCACTGAAGCTACTCCAACCTTTGCACGTATATGCTCGTTTCACATTCTATCTAATTACAAAGTCACTCATCCACCTGAGGATCCTCCCTACAAATAAATATATACATACACACACAATCTTAAAAAGTAACCTGGTGTGATCTTATTATATACCTAACGGACTCAAAAAACTTGTCCAAGAAAATCAATCGCTTGACCTTCTAGAGGAACAATTACAAGTTCGATCGTAAGGTCAATACTTTATTTTATTTCCTTCAAGTATTGCAACTTCAGAAAAAGAAAACTGAGGACTTGACAAAGTAGATGAAGCCTAAGAAGCTTCCCTCATATTGCATACTTAGCCAGTTAAGCTAATGATCGAGTTACCATAGTAATCTCCGGTCATCTTAAAAAATATTCCAACTTTCTAATTACTTTTCATACCAGACACAGCATCTTTGAATTTCCTTTCTACTCTCTTAGCAAACTTTGTAGCCGCTCTTACCCTACAGTTTTTTTTTTTTTCGGCCCTGTATGCTGCTACTGATGCTGTCCATATAGCTACTCTACATAAGACCATAGCATACAAGATGAAAAGAGTGGATTGAGTGACTGTATTTTAATATATGTATGTGTATGGTGTGCGTGTGTATTTGAGAGAGAGAGAGAGTGTGTGTGTATGAGAGAGAGAGAGAGAGAGAGAGAGAGAGCATATTTAGCAGGACCATAATTACAGAGCATTCAAACACAAGATGAAATCATTTAATTCAATCTGCAATACCAAGTTCATGAAGTAAGGACAATATGATTGCAGATAATCATTTGAAGAAGCAAATGGTGACACAAAAATCATCCAAAAAGATATCACTTTTCTCTATACTTATGAGAAGCCAAAGTTAAAATCACTATGATCATCAATTTTGTAACGTGTGCATCAAAAATTTAATTCTGTGAATCTTATTTCCCTTCCCAAACAACCAATACTCTTAATAAGACAGCACAGTAATGCAAATCTTTCTTAAACCAAGTATCCTGAAGAAATAACATCGTTAAAATGATAATCACAAAAGAAAGAAAATTTTCACCCTAAACACAAATGATCACCGTCCTTCTATACATAAAATTCAAATAATTAGACCAGAAAAATATAGATCATATTTATCAAGTAAATTTTCTATTGGAATGAAAAATTACCTCAAACAATTCGCAACAATTGAACCAGCTACCAACTCTACAAAATGAAGAAATAGGTCAGCGTTTTGGGTACCTTGATCCACATTTCTTCCAAGGACACCTGATCTGAATCCTTCATGGAGACGCATTACTTAGTTTTAGGGAGCAAATTTTGCACAGAAAGTAATTCGTGAACTGAAGAAAAACTAAGCTGAAAAGGATATATTATGAGGTAGAAAATGGCAGAACCATTATAAAACGTTCCACTACTATTTTTTAGAAAGACATACAAATTAAGTGCATTAAGGGTTGAAAAAAAAGCCTGATTTTCTGGGACAATTTCAGCAATAATGTTTCCAATACAGCAGGTTATAAAATCAAGAATAAAATATATGGGGGGCTAATTGAAAAGGAAAATAAATAAACAGTGAAATTGAATTCCTCTTCTATAAAAATTAACTCAGTAGTTTCTGTGAAGATAAAATGCTCTATAGAAAACAGTTTTAATACTATCAGTTTATAAGGTTTAGTCAACAGCACCAACAACCAATTTAAGGCCAATAATTCCATATCCATGGGTAATCAATGAAAAAGCTAGTGTAAATTCCGGTTACAAATTAAAGTACTGTGAAACAAATGAACTTTATCAGTGCTTGTAGCCTAAGACACAAATAGACATCCCAACTGAAGTTTGAGAACAAAAGATGTACAAGTTCCAACCCTTGCAGTTAAAAAAAAGATAACACCAATGAAGGTGGATAACTTCTAGAAATATCCTGTCGGTGCAATAAATAAATAAATAAATAAAAAACATCATTAGCCTTATCTTAACTATTTTGATTGAATTAACAAATCCTCATTTTTTTCTTCGATCCTATAAATTGTTAATTGAGGTATTAAGTATAGTTTTCATAAATCATTTTGAACAACTATTCATGTCGCCTTAAGGCTTAAGCCTATCTTCTCTTCCTAATCCTTAACAATAATTGTAAATACTTGACTAACGGGTGCATTTTCTTCCATTCCTCTTCATTGAATATATC